CCACGATAATGCAGACTTACACTTGCTAGAATATACTTTGGGGAGGATAAAAAGCAGGTAAGGAGTCCATGGCACTGTCAGTTTTAAAGTAACATTGATGGAATTATATTGCTTCCCATGGGCAAGTTAACTCTTCATCACATCTCTTTTGGAGTGGACCATTAGAACAGATGAGGACATGGTGGAAGTGGAGCAGGAGGGCAGAATCTGCAGGAGGGGATGCAGGGACAACCACAGCACTGTGACAGAACAAAGAAGGTAATGGAAGCAGGACAGAAGAGCTGAGATGATGGGAAAGATCTGGAACACACTCTAAGGCTGTCACTGTAGCCAACTACCCCTACAGAGCCAAGTTTTTTCCCATGCATATTCACACTCTACCACAACAAAGGACCACTGCCACGGGGACACATCACATCCCACCATAGGCACCACAAGATGGCTATTACCTGTCCCACAGTACCTGACTCAGGAGTCAGCAGCCAGGTTCAACCAAAAGCCCAAATCTTGTCAGCTCATGGTGACAAGGCACATTCCAAGTCCAAGCTGTGGGTCACATCCAGCAGAGTCTGTGATTAGGCCCAAGCCAGAGAGCAACCTTACAGGCTGAACTGAAATAGGTCCTATGGCTGAACTTGGCTATGGATGTGGATGGAGGTCTCAGGTGAGGCTGTTCAGGGCTATTAAAACCAGTTAGTGCCACCAGTATCCTGACACCCACCTCAAGACCAAGCCTGAATGCATGCTAGGGTACCGAACTGCGTTCATTTTGTAGGTGGATTAATATGTTTGTATGCAAACCTAAGGAGCTGTAAGTTGGAACTCTCCAATGATTCTTGCAGCTATTTCTCAACTCTATAACCATACTTATATGATCTGATTCCTCTATCATAAGATCACACAGAAACAACACAATTTTAGAGAAGAGTTCCAAGATTATTCTACCTGCAGGTTAAATCCAGTAGTTGAATCTTGAAACAGAAGTGATTATTTTTATTTACCAGTGCCTTAAGGACTGTTATTCCAGTGGTTTGACTAGAAAGTCATCAATATGTTTCCACAGTTCCTCAAACAGTGAATGTTGGCCCTAACGTTAATGCTCAGAGATGGTCCCAACTTGATATCCTGAAACTTGATAGCCATTCATTTAATCCCGCAGCAGGGAGAGATCTTGAAACTTGATTGCCATTCATTTAATCTTGGACTGACCTCTTTCTTCATAGTAGCTTGCTTTTGGTTACACTTATTCACAAAACCTTTGCTACAATGTAAGAAATTCATGCTACTTAGGTTGTATCTACTCACCCTTTCTATTATGAGTATCAAACATTGCCATATTCGAGGACCACATGGACAGGAATTGATAAGGTATGGGAAAGAGCAGAGGCTTTCAAGGTAGGTGGACACTGGCTGATCTAAAGCTGGTGCTAAGAAGAACCAAGGGATGTTAAGAGGATGAGCACTGGACAAGTCAATGGGACGAATCAGGTGCTCAAGATTACATTCAGGTTAAAATATGTTTTTTTTTTTTTCCTTGTCTTAGCTTGTTTCATGGAAAATAAACTGAAAACCATGGAAGTTTGGCTGCAGAGATACATTTTCACAGTGTATCCTTCCAACAACTCCCTAAACAAAAAGCAAACGTTATGTGCTCTTTCTTGTGATACGATGAAGCCACGGTATTACCCTTCACCACAGATCCATCTTTTTCAGTCTTACAAATCTTACAAAAGATGACTGATGGGCAGATGACAAACTTCAGTAGGATCTCATACACATGCTCTGTCAAGGACTGAGAATGTCTCTGCTTTCCAAATTTTAGCCCCAATCTGCACACGTCAATCATCCAGGCTTAAAGGTAGTGTGAAGACAAAGTATCACTCTTCTCCTAGTAACATCAGCAAGGACTCTCTGAGCTATGGTTCCTCTGCGCTAGCTAGCCTGGCCAAGACAACTTTTGTGCTGCTCGCACAGAGATCAGTTCAGCCCAATGGCAGCAGAAAATGAAATTAATTACACTCTGTATAGTCACCTTTAAAATGGAAGGGCAGTCTTTGCCAAGCCTGCATGATGCTGTATGGCTCCTTGATGCTAACTGGTATCATGACTTAGTTCAGAAGTAGCATCTTTGTTCTGGTCATTTAAGTGACACTTATCATTAGCCTTTAAAATGAATTTTGTCTCAAAGACACCAGTTGACTGTACAAGAAGAGTGCTGTTTTCCTGGGGGTCTCTGAGGGGGTCTGGTGACATCCTTTGTTTCCAGCAGAACAGAAAGTCCCATTCATACTTCTGTCACATGCCAAAACATGACTATCCCAGAATAGGGCTGCAGGATACCTCCCCAGTGGGTCGAGAGGAGAGGTGCCAGTGGGTTCATGTATTCTGAGAAGAGGAAATGCTGCAGCCCTCCAAAAAGGCCAAAAAGTTGATGGAACTGACATGCCATGACTTCTGCCCTGGGCTGAGATGAGCTGTTTGAGGTGCATATTTTCTGATCAGCCTGAAGAGCATAAATGTGCTCCTCATGGGACAGATTCAGTCAGGGAATGATGAGAGGTCACCACAAGGGCAGCAACAGGTAGGGAAACTTTTTGGTCCCACACTGGCCAAGACAGAAGGGCCAACTTTTGTATCAGGGACATCCACCAGGGTATAGAAATACTTCACTGAGACCACAGGCTGGCAAGCTGGAGACACCCAGGAGCATTACGGTCCAAAGGAGGATAGTACCAGATGTCTGCCTCCAAACTAAGGCCAGGGATGGGCTGCACCCATCAGCACAGACCACTAGCTGGATTTACCTTACGTTTCCATGTGGTCTGTTTGGGAGAAGGAACATCTCAGTGGGGAATAAGCTAAGATGAGATGAGCAAGGAAGAATGAAGCTGGAGAAAAGAAAGAAAAGTGACTGAATCTAATAACTACATGGCAGTGTCAGCAGAGAAAGTGAGAAGAGGGATCCTCAGACAGACTCCAGAAGCAGCCTCTACCCCCTGCAATAGTATAAAGTGGTTTTAAGTAAAGCATTCAACTTTAAACCAAAAGCTAAGCAAATAAAATAGATCCCTAAAAAACATAATCCCTGTTGCTTCTGATATCTGAGATCAAAGCTGGTGAGACCAGGGGGAACATCATCTCTGCAGAGCAAGCAGTGCCAAGATGTGAGAAGTCACAGTGAGATGGTGGGTGATAGATTCTCCAATTTGGGATGCTTAATAGAATGAAGAGAGAAGAATCTAAATGAAAGTTTTGTTCTCTCTTCTGAGGAGGAGTCAACTCTGATGGATCAGAGTAAGCAGTAAATAAAGACATTAACTTTTCTATGGATTATCCACAGCTCTGATTCATCAAAGCTTCAAGGAGTCATGGAAATGATTCAGTGGAGAAAACACAGATAATTTGTTTCTATACCAAAGAAGAATAAAGTTCCCAACAACAAATGTAGATTAACTCTACCCTATTTACAGTTCTTGACCACTGAGCAAAGTGAGCCTCAAATTCTCAGTTGCATCTTTGGCCAAATCTCAAGATGAAAGGGAGTTTCTTTCCAAGTCTAATCCATTCTTGTGTCTGGATCCACTCAGAAAAAAAGGCTGGAACAGCAGGCACACACAAAAACATTCTGTTGTGAACTTCTGCAGCTCTCCCACAAGTAGCAGAGCTCCTGCACAGTTAGTTGTCCATGATGCCCATGAAATGGGGTGAAAATAAATAGCCACAAACTTGAATGCTATTAAAGTCACCTAGAAGACAAAGCATCTTCTATCTTATTGCTGGCAAATGCCACCTAGAAAGCCCAGATGCCATTCTAGAAAGTTTTTTTCTGCTGAGCACCTCTCCCATGAAGACTTGTTCAGACTGGAGAAGAGAAAGTTGCAGGGACACATACGAGGACTTTTGCATGGCTTTGATAGTTTTTGAAGCTATTGGAAATTACACTTTGAAGACTGGTAATGGAAAGTCCAGTTGGGGGAAGGGGGAGGAGAAAAAAAAAAGATTAAAAAATATCATAGCTTGAAGATAAAATGTAAAAATAATAGGTCATAACTGGACATAGTTTGAGGATGGATTTGGGCCAGGGTGAGCAAGGCTATGGGATGGCTTCCTACAGCACAGCTAGGTTGTTCCTCCCCAGGAGCAGGACCTTCCTTCTTCTGGGCTGCATGATGAACTGCCCAGCCTGTCCAGGTCCCAGTGAATGGCAGGAAGACCTTCTAGAGCACCAGTCATGATCTCATGTGCTTGAGATTCCTTCTACTTGGGAAGGAGTTTGAACCCATTCTTTTTATCCTTGTTTTGGGGCTAGAAGGGCAAAGGGATTCCCATACCAAAGTAAAGTTACTCCAAAAATCAACGTGACTTTACCAATACCTTGAGTCATCAAGGACACTGGAACAAGATGATTTGGCTATTCCTTTTTCTTTATTTTTTTAATAAAGCAACTTGCCCCATACCAAATAAATCCCCAGTTCCTGAGCAGAGCCAGCTTCAGAGCATAGTGAGGAAAAAAACTTTCCTCTGCAAGTAGATAAGCCAAGGAGGTTGGGAGAAGCTTTGTCACTGGGGCTGTGCAGAAGAGGTTCAGGGGTTTGGAGGAAGGCAGAAGGGATTTCATGGAAGACCTGTTTGCGATCTTCCACACAGGGGCAGGTGAAACTTAGAGGGGAATCTCTGAGTCAAGACCATGTCTAGAGACCAGACCAGAGGTATAAGGGAAGCTGGTGGGACTCTGGCAGCACTGACTTCTCAGCCATAAAGGCTCTGCCCTATATCTCAAGAGCAAAATCCAAGCAGAGCTGGCACGTGAAAAAGCACCTCCTTGCAGATGGAGGGTGGTCTGAACTCTCACCCCAGCCTGCTTCACATAGAGGCTCAGGGAAGGCAAAGCAGAGCCTGTCCACCTCCAGCACCTCAGTAAGGTCTTACTGTGCCAGAAGGGAAACAGCACATCCCTGCTGCTGTGTGTGCACTCTGGGCACAAAAGGCTCTGATGCCTCCCAAAACTTTCCCCAAAGCTGGCTGGGGTCTATTTGCCAAACCACAACCTCGTGCTGGTGTCAGCAGCTACCCCAGCTCTCTCCCCCCTCTTCTAGAGGGATTTGTTTATGATTTTCATCCCTGCCTGCCTCACCCTCCTCCTCCATCCCTGTCCTGCCTTGCACTTATTGGTCGCAGCAGCTGCGTTAGGGGCAGCCCAGTAATTTTCTATATAACTAAGTGCTCTGTTCAGAGAGAACTCAGCAAGTCACGAGAGGAAAGGAACACAAAAGTAAACTCCAGAATCTTCAATGCTGCAATCCTCCTGGGACCTGTAGAATGGACAAGGGCCATGAGAGGGAGAGAAACTGATCCCCAAAGCATCCAGAGTTCGTGGTCTCGAGGAAGGTAACCTAACTCTGATGAAAAGCTTTGCTGTTCCATGCTCTGATTTGCAAACAACATGATCTCCTGTGCCTGGGTGAGTTTTTACATGTTTTTCAATCTCACGATCTGATGGAGATGCTGGAGGGATCACATCCCCAACAAGATCTAACAGGTGCTGCACACCTTTTAGGAGAAGGTCCACCATTCTGGGGACCGGGTTGGGTTCAGGAGAGGGAAACAACTGGGGATGTGTTCTCATATCTGCCTTTCTTCCCTCTTCCCCCCATTCAAGGCATTTTTGCTGCAAAAGATGTTTATTTGCACCCTCCACTGGGCAGATGGGATGGGGCCATCAGGCATCTCCCCAGGTGATCGGGGATGTGAACAAGGCTCAGAGGATTTGGAGTAAAGTGGTGCTGGCTTTGGCTTCCACCCGCTGGGCACTTAACAAGCCTCTTAGCCTTCTGTGCCTTGATTCCCCCAACAAGGGAAAACAAGTTATACTTGCAAGTACTCTGAGAGGAGGGAACAAGGAGGGCAAGAAGTCAGTGGGCTGTTGAGCAGGAGAACAACGCTCCCCTTTTATTAAATTGATGTATAATAAGGCAAGATGGGGGAGAAGCACTTCTTTTCAGTAGTGTGGAAGGAATGCGGGATCCAGCGAAATGTGTCCTGTGATTCTTACTCACATGAGTTCCTCTGCCAAAGCCCTGGGGGCACAACAGCACCAGGCTCTGAGTTCTTCTCTAGGGAGAGCAGCGAGGAGCAGCCCACTGCTGCCCAGCAGACAGCTTTCCAGGGATGCTTTATTGCCTAAGCAGATGCTTAGGTAAATAGCCAAAGGAAGGAGATGTTGAAAAATCCTCTTTTGTCACAAAAATTCAGGTTGGGCAATCAGTTCGTAAGGGATGTGCTGGACCAGCAGAGGTGACAGGACCTTCAGAGCTACCACCAAGTTTCTTCTCACAGCATTTTACAGTGGTCACTAGGTGATAAGCTGACATCCACCATGCCCTCCTGGGGGAATTAGCTCTGCCCATACAGAAGAGATTGTGTGAGATGAGGGATTCCCTCATGTGCATATTACTTTGTGCTTAGGAGTAGCAGGATACACCTGCAGGTATCCCTCAGTGCTGGGATGCCCATGTAAGCTGGGTTCAGAACAAATATGGGTCAACTCCCAACCATCATATGGAGAGGCTTTCTTTTTTTTCACAGCAACACATGGGCAGATAACTTCATGGTGGCCATTCTGGCTCATATTGATGTGGCTTATCTGCAAGATAAGTTTGCAAAGCTGCTTGAGCCTGCAGAGATAAAAGGCACGGTGAGCACGCAGAATTGCTATGCACCAGGCATGAATATTTCAGCAGATAGAAGCATGCTGACCGTGAGCTGGAAAGAAAGGAATGGGATCTTTAACTCTCCTGTGCTAAAACTGTATCTAAGGTGCCATCACAATGTAAGGGTCAAACTAGAAAGAAAACATCTTTAAGAAGTAGTTGTTTTAACAGAACTGAAAACTCATCTTTTGAGTTCATGAGGTCTGAACTATGATTGAAGTCTGTGGTTATTTTATTGCCTCTGTTTGACATGTAACTGAGAATAAATGTCAGGTTTCCTACTAACGCTGCCTGTTTGCAGCTTAATTCACTAAGAACCTGGCTGAAGGGTCAGAGAGATTTTCTGGCAGGAGCAGCAGGATGAAACTGAGAAAAGGGTAGGTCAAGTTAGGCTGGTTTGTTGGGAAAGCATCCAGCTTCTTACCAATCATGCTTGGAAACTCCCAAACAAGCAGGAAGGCACAGGTGTTCCTGCAGAGCTGACACACAAGGCAGCTGTACCTGGAGGAGCTGTGGCTGTACCTGGTGGCTCTTGGGGTTGGCTTCCAAGAGAGGAACAGCATGGTCCCACTGTACACACAGTGCTGAAGCCCCTCCCCCAAATTCATACCAGTACAGTTCTGCAGCATCCTCAGCTGTCCCATAGGCTGCATGGGATTTGCTGCTCAACCAGCTCTGCCTGAGAATACCGGCTGAAATGTGCAAAACAGAACCCAATCCAGTGATATTTATTAGCAGTGCTGCAAGCTTGGTCAGCTTGAGAGACCTTTTACTGTGCTCAGCAGTCAGTACGGCAAACAACACAGGGAGATTTATATCCCCAGGTATTGAGTGGAACAGCATGGTGGATTTGGAAAGGAAGTGGTTCAATTAACAGCGATTAAGGATGGGGAAGGAGGAGTTGCTCTGCTTGCACATAAATTGGAATAAGATGTCAGGTATCAATAGAGCATTTCTGGAAAAACCCTCATGGTATTTTCCCAGCACAGTTCTCAGGATACTGTGCTGAGTTCTGTCTCTTTGCAATGAAAAATGGCACATGGGATCTGCTGATGTTCATGCTGCTCCACTTTTCCCATGGCACAAAGCAGCAGAAAAGCTGCTTTGTTCCTGTGGATGATGCAGGGTTTGCAGGTGTCAGTGGAGCAGGTGCCCCAAAACTACTTTCCCTCCACCGACTGCAGACAAAATACCTTTCTGCCATCTTCTTAAGCACTATCAGGCCCCCTCCTCTGCTAACCCACCTCTCTCCCTTGTCCCTTTCTCTATCTTCAGATCAGACCAAGACCCAAGTAAAGACATCCCAAAAGCACTGCATTCTGCAGCCAGCTTTGCCCTTTGGTCCTCAATGGCGAGAATCTCAGCTCCCACGACTCTGGCCATCCTCCTGACTTGCCTCTTCTCTGGGGCATGTGGCCAGACCCCAGAGGCTTTCCAGGCGAGCTCCATTCCCTTCAAGGCACTCAGCCAGGAGCAGGCTTACAGCCTGCTGCAGCCCAGCCTGTTCCAGGATGCCAAGGCACACAACTACTCAGAAAGTCTCCCCAAGAGCAGTGGGTCGGAGCCACCCCTGCTGCCCGTCTGTGTGAAGCCTGCAGATATCAGGCACATCTTCAAGTACATCAACACCATCGTGTCCTGCACCATCTTCATAGTAGGGATCATTGGGAACTCCACACTCCTGAGGATCATATACAAGAACAAATGCATGAGGAATGGGCCGAATGTTCTCATTGCTAGCTTGGCACTTGGAGACCTTCTCTACATCCTCATTGCTCTGCCCATCAATGTCTATAAGGTAGGCTCTGTGTAACAGGAGTACTGGAGCAGGAATGGGATCTGCTATCACCTGCCTTTGTGCCCTGCTATCTTCTATCTTCTGCTCTCTATCACAGACTCCATTTTTGGCAAGGATTGATGGAGGGTGATCATGCTTTTCAAAGGAGAAGGGAAAAATAAATAGGCACAAAGCTCACAGTAGGTTCCTGGGAAAGCAGAGGTGTTCCCAGCCACTGATGTGTTCTATACACACACACATATCCAGATCTTTTAAATCTTATTTTAAATTGCAAGGAAAAGAGTGACTTGTGGTCTCTTGGCATTCACAAACATCTAGCTAAATATGAAGGCTCATCCAGGAACACTGAACAGGGCTGTATTATAAACAGGGTAGATAGGGTTTGGCAGATGTTAGATGGAGTCCCGAGACCCCAGTCAAAGCAGTTGTACTGTGTGAGATGTGCAGTTACTCCTTGTCCACCATATGGGACAGGTTTTGGTGGTCTGGAGTAAGAGGCTTGTAGGAAGGGTCCAGAAGGGCTGCAGAGAGGTGAAGGACTTGGAGCTCAGATGCACTCATACAACTGAGCTGTGGGTACATAGGTCTGATAGCCCTCCTCTTTGGTATGTTTGCCTGGTTCTGTCCTATTTCACAAGTCTGTACTTCCTAAGGTCCTACATATCATAAAAAAGGGCATGTGGGACCAGATGGAGACTGTAGGAACAACTTTACTGAAGGAAGCTGGCAGATGAGACTGTCACAGGCTGAATACCCAGTTCTATGTCCTGGTCAAGTAAGTACTGATGGCAGTGAGGGCTGTACAGAGTTCAAGGCTTATACCAAAGGCTGCATCCACAGGATAGCCCATGCTAACACAAGCTCTTGCCTTCAAGATACACTCAGCCATCTCTCAGAGCTCCCTTTCTCCTGTCTCACATTGCCACAATGATAGCCTCTGCTCACCTCAGTTGAGCTTAGGGCCACAAGTAGGTACTGGCTTTAAAAGGAACACCAGATCTAATTCCAGAGGAGGTGAGAAGAGTTTTGAGGAGAATTTGCAGTAAGGAATCTAAGCGTGGTAGAAGGGGTGAGTATGGGTTGCACATAAGTCTACATGGCTGTGAAAGCTATCTCAAAGAAGCTGTCCTTGCTGGATTTTTGGCTATTTCAGAGAACGATATCCACTTCCCCTCTGATAGTATCCCAAAGCCCTTTGTGACTTTCAGGATTCTTGGTGTCCAAACCATCTCTCTGTGTGGGTAAACTCATCTCACAATGAGCCCTTGGGGAAATGAGTGGTTCCCAACACAACCTAAAGCACCGGAGAGCACACACCATGCCATCCCAGTGGAGGTAACCTCAGAGTGCTTTCAGCTGCTCTTTGTGGGCTTCTTACACCTTGTGGGTAACCACCTGCTATTATGGGAAGCCAGGCATACCTTCCCGAAGCAGTCTGCTAACCCTGAGATTCTTCCCCAGCTCTTGGCAAAGGACTGGCCCTTTGGTGTGCAGGTGTGCAAGCTGGTCCCCTTCATCCAGAAGGCTTCAGTGGGCATCACGGTCCTCAGCCTTTGTGCCCTCAGCATCGACAGGTGAGAAACAACTTCCACGGGTGCCCAGCCTGGCCCATATTTAATCACAGTATATCCTTCTGTTGCCTGCAATTAGAAGACTGTAGAGTGACTTGGTTCCAGGCCAAATTCAGAGAAGGGGAGAGGGAGCTTTTATGTAGTGTTGAAATCCAACAGGAACCAACTATTCTCTATGATGAGGAAGTGTAAGTCCTGCTGGAAAAGGTTGATATGAGGAGCATAAAATGCAGGAATAACTGCTAGGCTGGTGGGGAAGGATGGCACCTCTGCCACCAGGAGGTAGACACACTGGCCAAGGTCAGCTCCCTTCACATTTATCCCTTGAGGCCCTGTTGCTGATCCTTTCCATTCCAGTGAAGGAGAAGGCAAAGCAATGGTGAAGGAGGGAAGGAAAGGGACTCTGGGGACAATTCTAATACTCACCTTCCTAGCTTCTTTCTGATAGTGGCTTTTCTCACTCCTCTCCACTCTTGTTGTACCCCTATACACTGGGCAGGTATCGAGCAGTGGCCTCCTGGAGTCGGATCCAGGGCATAGGAATCCCCATGTGGAAGGCAGTGGAGGTGACGCTGATCTGGGCAGTGGCCATTGTGCTTGCAGTCCCTGAAGCCATAGCCTTTGACATGGTAGAGATCAACTACTGGGACCAAGACCTGTGGGTGTGCATGCTTGCCTCCGAACAGAAATCCAGCTTCATGATGGTATGTACTCTGACCCATCCCAGCTGCAGTGCAAGGAAACGAAGACACAGGCAAACAGGGTTTCCTTTCTCCTTGATTAGAGAGTTAGATGCTCTATATGTGACTTCCAGCAAACAGGGAGAATGTGGGGAGAGATTAGACAAAGCACAGTCTGTGCAGGAAATACCAACATGGAGTAGAGTTGCTTTGATGTGAGGCCTGGAAACAAGCAGGTCTTTTAGCTATGTTGCATCCTCATTGCCCACCTCAGGATGTCATGACCAATGTTGGTGAAGCTTCAAGAAGCTGCTAGACTGTCAAAATAGGCCAAGGAGCACCTCCACAACCACACTGCACAAGGCCAGCTAAGGGTGAGCAAGGAGATGAACGACTTTGTAAAGCATCACAACTTGCCCTTTCACCCCAAGTCTGCCTAAATAAGCACTTTGCAACCATTTCTTGTATAAAAGTGTTAGATCAGCAGCCAGGTGTAAACCAGATTTCCCCTCTTTGGGTTAAGCTCTGGGGGGATGATGATCCCATGTACACTAAGCCCAGGGGCTGTTACACTTTCATACATCAGAAGTGTCAGAATGGTCTGATAAGTGACCATTGGTGTCAGGGACCAATGCATCAGCTACCTTCCTTCTTCCCCATTTCCAGTTACTCTGTGTTTTGCATACAGTTCTATCGTGACGTGAAGGACTGGTGGCTTTTCGGCTTCTACTTCTGCCTCCCCTTGGTATGCACTGGCATCTTCTACAGCCTCATGTCATGTGAAATGCTGAGCAAGAGAAATGGCATGAGAATCACTCTGAATGACCACATGAAACGGGTAAGAAAACCAGGAGGGCAGAAACATCATTTCCCAAAATAAAAGATAATGATGTAGAATGGGAGAACATATGTGAGTTCCTATACACTACACAGTTTCACAGCAGTCAGTGGCTTCTTGATAAGTGGATGCAGATGCATGGATTAAACAGGGAGAAGGGCTCTCACCTCTACAATCTTCCACCTTGAGACAACCCAAACCACCAGCATTGTGACCCCAGACCAGTTTGCTTTTCAATTCCTATGGTCATTTATATCTTTGTTCTCTCCCATACCTTGGTGATCTGCTGGTTACTCCAGTAACACAGCAGGAAGAACTGATAGATGACGCCACTTCAGCAAAGTGACTAGAAGTGATAGTAGGATGGGGAGAAGGAAACTACCCTGGTTCACATTGCATTACTGCTACCTTACTGCTTTCTGCAACCTGGATCTCACAAGTCATCCTCACGATGTAGGAAGTGGGACTGGTAGGCTGCGCTTTGGACTCAAAAGGGTACCCAGCCCTCCTCAGATTATAGAAAGGACATGAAGGGCCATTGACCAGCATGAGGAGAGCGTGCTTTGCCCCAGACACTCAACCAGACTATACCTTCTCCCCTGCCCACCCTCTCCTTGCAGCGTCGGGAGGTGGCCAAGACCGTCTTCTGCCTCGTGGTGATCTTTGCGCTCTGCTGGCTGCCGCTCCACCTCAGCCGCATCCTCAAAAAGACCATCTATGATCAGACAGACCCCAACAGATGTGAGCTGCTCAGGTAAGAGCAACAGCAGGAGGGCACTGCGCCATAAGCCCCAGTGAGCAACTGTAGAGGTTCACTGGACTCACAGCAGGCTGAGGGAGCTGCCTTCCAAACACCTTTCTCCCCCTGTTCTAGATGGCACTGCTCTGTAGGCAGGCACAGAGAATGGAAGTGGGGGGTTCACATAGAGAGTACTATTTATGAGTTAAAGATGTCTCCCAGACAGAGAAACATTTGGAAGTTTGGAAACTCCTTCAGCTGTCCACTCAACAAGCTATCAGCCCCTTCTCTCCCCTCTTCCCACAGTTTCCTCCTCGTCATGGATTACTTTGGGATCAACATGGCCTCTCTCAACTCCTGCATCAATCCAGTGGCTCTCTACTTTGTCAGCCGAAAATTCAAGAACTGCTTCCAGGTAGGGATGGTACCTCCATTGTCATAGACTTCGGATGAGGGGAAAGGCAGACATCAGGTACATGTGGGGCCTGCCAATGGCCCACAGGATGCCCATATTTGCTCATTGTACCCTCTTCCCAAATTTTCACCCTCTCTTCCCAGCTTCAAGCACAATAGAACTTCCTGCCTTGCTACAGGGAGACTTTTCTCAATGCAAGGCCTGTGACAAGCTCCAGAGAAGTCCCTGTCGTTCTGAATCAGAAGCAACTCCACATGCCTTTAAATCAGGAAGTGGGGCTGCTATAAACTTTGAGCCCAATCTGCTCAGAGAGAAATCTAAGCAGGAGGGAAGCACTGAAAAAGGATGGGGACAAGATGAAAATCACCTCCCAGCTGCTATGGCAAGGAATTGCGCCCACCTATTTTCTGTCCTTCAAGGACAAGAAAACACAACTGCAAAAAATACCCGAGGCTTTGCTACCTTCATTTCCAAGCCACAACAGCCCTATCTTGACAAACCTATTCCCATCAAATCTGTAGGAGAACTTGGTCCAGTGCACAACCTGGCATCGCACAGGTTAATCTGCCAAGAATGTTTCCCTCGTATCCCACGTACGTAACATTTGTGCTTCGACCCTCTTTGTCTCCTTGCAGTCCTGCCTGTGCTGCTGGTGCCAGAGACCCGCTCTGAGCATCACACCGACAGATGAGAAGGGCTCTGTGGGGAAGTGGAAAGCCAATGGGCAGGAGCTTGGACTGGACCGGAGCAGCTCCCGCTTGAGCAACAAGTACAGCTCTTCCTAAAGCAGAGAGAAGGCACTGTGACAAGACGGTAGGACACCTCAGATTCCCTTGCACAGCTATTTCCTGGCTGGGCTCAATTGTTTTTGTCTTCATATTATAACCCACCTGGGTAAGAGCTGTAGCATTTCACTGACCCCAGGACTAGCTCTGAACGCAGACTCAGGGCTTTGCTTGTCCATCCTCCAGTCCAAGTCATCTCTGCAGGAGGAAGAATGGGACCCAGTCCCCTGTAGGACTTTTCTGTTCCTTGAAGGATAACCAAGTGACTTATGGTCATTTGTCTTGGGTAGAAACACAGGGTGAGGAGATTGGTGAGAAAAGTAAAGTTGAGATGTGGCATTTGAAGATGGATGTGGGACAGGGAGGAAAGGGCAAGTAACCCAAGCAACAATTTCCAACTGAAAAAAACAAAGCATTGTCTCTTATGATCTCCCTCTGCTGGAACAGTTTGTCCCTAGGCAGAGCACCCTGATAAGACCCAGGTATCATGTAGGTCTTCTAGACAATCAGTGACCTGAAATCTCCCCCAGCTATGGTATCGAGGGATGGGCAGCAACCCAGCATCACAATGCAATCAACCTGACCTGGGAAGCCCTGAAAGACCTCTCCTCTTTACCTGTTCCCAGGAAATTTGTTCCAGGCTCTCCACTCAGGGATGGCATTCACCCTGCCTTGTATGGCACAAGAAGGTGACTGAATGCACGAGACAGCACACCTTAGGAGTCCAGGTGTCCTCGGCAGAAGCCAGTGGCAGCATCCAGCCAAACCACCTGCTCCAAATTCCCCTTCCCCAGTTTCTGGAACCCCAGCACTTCTTGGGCACAGCTCTGTGACACCAAGGTTCAGGCTATTTGTAAGGAGGATGCAGATTCTGATCCTCAGAGTCAAGCTACAGTGGAAAATACAATGGGGAAGATCTGATCTCAGCTGAAGTTGCTGCTGAAACTAACCAGAATATGGCAAAGAGCCCTCACAAATTTACAGTTTAAAGTGATTAGACCCCAAATGCCTTCTCCAGCATAACTTTCTAAAAATCATGCTTGCGCCCCTGCCAAAACCTCAAGAAAATCTGTAAGAGAATGTTTTGTTTACCAGATTTTTTTATAATTTTCCTGTTGTATTTTATTCTCTTATATCCCTTTTTCCTTTCCTCTTTCCCCTTTTCACCCTGTCATGGAGAAAAAAAGAAAAAAAAAAGGAAAAAAGAAGAAGGGAGAAAAGACTTGTAAACAAAGCTAAACTCATTTCATGTGACATTGTATTTCAGTGAAAGCTAAGCTAAAAACAAATATTTTACAAACAAATCATATTTTTCAAAGACAATTAGGTTTCAAATCTAAACAGAAGGACTGAGGGATATCTAGACCAGTAAGTTTTCCATAACCTTACCTACCCACTAGAGTAGATTTGCCTGTATCCATTTCACAGCACTGATGCTGTGCTTTGCCTCTGAGCTGGCTGCATTTTGTTGGAAGACAAAGTCATTGGAGCAAATTGATAGCAATGAAATGCTTCATCTTAGTAGAAGGATTTTTTTTAATAATTGTACTCATTAGAAAAATAGTAATCTGAATTCTACATATTTCTATAAAGAGTCAACCTTTATCACACTGAAACAAGCATTCAAAGGTCCTCTTCCATTCAGGACAGCCCCAGTTGTTTCAGCTTGGCTTCCTCTAACTGTATCCAAATCAGCAATAGGAACAGCTGAGTGCTATCTGCCACCAGCAATGATTGTTCTCTTACCTGCACACTGCATGGAGACTAGCAGATTTAAACACACAGTTCCCATTCAACTCAGCGAAGACTGAAGCATCTGAATGATTCCCCAGCAGTGACCTTTGGTAACAGTATAAGGAGCAGTGCCCCAAATGTTCAAGATCTGTGATTCTCTCCTAAGGACAGCCAGGACCTGTTCATACTCACAATACAGACAGCAATTACATCCACACAGGGGAATCTTTTTACCTTGCTTAACCTCCTGGACCCCAAATAGCTAACATCCCTCTTTATGCTCCACAGCAAATTTAATCATTCCTGCATTAGCAGCTACTCTCAGATCAACATTTTCACCTTAAATGGTTCAAAACCAGTCTCAGATCTGCACATGATTAATATTACAACAAACAGACTGCCATGAATTCATCTCAGCTCTGGATGTTGGTATCACTTGCTGCACAGCTGCTTAACACTGACTTCAGTCTCCTTTCCTTTCTTTCCCCTTGTGTTTTCCTCCCAAGCGTCTCCTATTAAAACCAACATCATAAAATCTGAGTAACTGTGAGAGGGGAGGGAGAGAAGAGAGCTATCAGCTGCAAACAGTAGCCTTTTAAAACTCTTACACTGTGGTGGCATTCACTTGGCACTTCTCAAAGGTCTCTATTAGGCTACAACCAAGACCATGACAAACACATTTCAGCTCAAAGATAAAGCAAAGAACATCAGAAAACAAGTGCCCATGCAGTTTAGCTGCTCATGGAACTGCAAATGCAAAAACAGCTCCCACCTTTCAAGATCTTTTTAAAGTTGCTCTCCATGCTGCTGGGGCTTAGCAGTCACAGGACTGAGCCCAGATGTATCAGTCAGGTTCTTATTTATTCACCCCTTTTCCCTTCAGCCAAGCCAGACAGGATCAGACAAAATCAAAGCCGCCACAGCCACCTGTAAAGATGCAGGAACCCATTGGCATGGGCAAGATGAATCTATTGCAGCAAACTGAGGCAAAAGAGCCTTATTATGAAATGCAGGGTTCAGATGGCTTCAGGACCTAATGCCTGTGAACACAAACCCACTGCCAGTCTGCCAGAAACCAAGTCTGTCAATTTGTATTTGAAAGAACAATTTTATTGAGAAAACCTGACATTTTACATCCTCTTATTCCTCTGTATGTTAATAAAACATGTTGGTGTTTGAAAAGAAAGTCTCTGGGTGTTTCTTATTAAGCAGCAGGGGGTCTGCAAAGTCTGCTAAATACTTAATTGAGTGCCAGCAGGTTCTTTTGGTAACTGCAGACCTCCACTGAAGAGACAGAGGTGCTCCCCCTGGGCAGAGCAAACTGGAAAGGTTCACAGTCCTGCACCCAGCACAGAGCAGAAAGAACTCCTGTTACTTCATGCCACATTACACTCAATGAAAGGCTTTCCCTTGGCTAGCTGCCAGCAGATCTGAACAAGGCCTGGGTTTCAGCATTGTACTCTCTAGATAAGCTCACAAGGAGTGATCTGGGCTTGTGGCTGTTTGCATTCTTCAGGAGGTTGAAATGAGGCAAGTTTTGTTGTGATTTTTTTTCAATTGTCTCACCATGAAATGATTCTCTGGTCATTTGAGGGCAATCTGTTAAAAAAATGAAGGCTGATTATATTACTTGAATGCAACCAGAGGGCAAAGAAGCTGGCAAAAGGGCTTGAAGGCATGTCCTGCACAGAGTCTGAAGATACTGGGGCAGTCCAGTCAGGAGGCCAAGCGGCAACCTCATTGCGCTCTGCATCTTCCTCTGAGAAATGAGGAACGACACATAAGTCTCTCCTCCCTGGTAATCAATGACAGAATGCAAAGAAATGACAGAAGGATTTGTCAGGGGAGTTTCAGGCTGGATACGAGGAAAATTTGACCACCCTCAAGGTAAAGAAACACTGAAATAGGCCTACTAGCAAGGTGGCTGATGCCCCATGACTGTCACTGTCCAAGAGGCATTTGGCCTTGGGGCCAGTAACAGAAGGACTTAGATCAGAAGAAGCTACAGCCTCTCTCAAAGCCTGATTTTACACTGCACTGAATGCCTTTATTCCCCTCATATGCTGGAGCAGACCAGCCTCTGTGCACCAGACTATCTTCACCACTGCAAGTGATCTGAACATCCTGGGCAGAAAATAGCGACATTTGAAGAGGGGAAGAAATAAAATGGATGTGTGAAAAGAGCTGCCTTGCAGCTATCGTTTTCTGTACCCGCATGAGCTGAACACAGCAACACCTCTGCAGCATCAAACTTCATATACTTTATTACTAGAGAAAATACACACTTACATCAAAGTAGTTATAAAAAAAACCAAAATACTCTTGACACGGGGAATTCAACACATGAACAATACAAACATCCACGAGGACAACCATTCCCAAACGCTACTGCATCTCTTCCTCCCTCTGGGCCCTGTATTTCCTCATGCTCTTCTGCAAGCAAGAGCAAAGGACAAATGTTAACAGTAATACATCTGAGCAATTCACACACCAGTATCACATCAGTTTGTGCTGTGACTTCTCCATCCAAATCCTGGAACAGTTGAGGGACCACAAAATGCTCTGACAGAGCTCCAAGAACTCCCAGAAGAGATTGAGCCTTTGTTCACCACAATACAAAGGAAGTCAGGCCATGCCTGCTGTGTCCAGCTGCAGGGGTAAGCCCTAAAGACTGTGCAAGCTCTGGCCTAATCCTGGTCGACGCGTTGAGTAAATACTGAGAGAAGCCAACCAAGTATGCTATGGGAGGACATGCTCAGCAGCTCAGTCTCCAGTACCCTGAGTCTGCTCTCCACCCCCAGCTCCAGCTCTTGGCCCCTCTCCTGCTGAAACATATGCCTAGAGAGAGCACTCAGAGCTGGGCAGTCCACAGACTGGCTACAGGGAATCTACAGCTCAGGCTGTAGTGAGTGTTCTGGCGCTTCTCATGTGGAAGCAAGAAATACAGAGGTTTTCCCATTTAAGTTAAAAGATAGGAAGTTTAAGAATTCCTTCCTCCATTACCTGCAGGAATTTCTGCTCCTTAATGCTCCAGCAATAGCAAAAATATAGGCAGAAACACTCATGGGACATCAAGAATTTCTGCTGTACCAACCGGTACCTTCCACTGCAAAGACTGACCTGTCCTCTCCTCTTCCCAACCCCAATGGTTGAAGTAGTGGTTTAGGACTTGGAAAACCACAGTCAAACCAATGTGAGGGAAAGAATGCCTGAAAAACCCATCAGACTTTTCATAACAAAAGTTCTCAGTCCCTCTTGACCAAGAAGGCTCCTGAGCTCTTCAGGCAATAGTCTCACCTCAAAGGTATCGAGTACATGTTGGCAAACACCCATCAGGTCATTCAGCCCTTTGCGGAATGGCTCAACAGCAGGAAGGGACCCTTCGGAAAAGCAGATGAATTAGTGAACTGGGAGGTGGCTGGGGACCTTTCCCTCAACACTGCATGCCAGCATGGCTGTTCCCACAATGCAGAGAGGCTCCTACATGACAAACAGCAATGTGTGGACTCCTGCCAGCCTATCACCAACAGCCCAAGCCCAGAGCTCAGAGCCTAGGTGCTCTAAGCTATAGCCCAGGAGCAGCAGATACTTATCCTGCAGTTAGTCCCAAGTTAGCAAAGCCAACAGGCTGAGCAGCAATTATTTTTACAAAGTTAAAGAGTCAGCAAGCACAAGCAAGCAACTTGCTTCCAGGAACTGACTTCTACATATTTAATGCTCAAGGGATCAGCCCCATGGGGAAGGAATGAAATAACAGCATCTCTCTAGGCAGCAGACAAAGCTGCAGAGCATACAGGGCCAGGTGTGTTGGGAGGAACAGGTGACTGCAAGAGACTCAGAGCTGTCAGTGCTACCTATTGTCAGGGGACAAACTCTTCAGGAGGCAAGTCATTGGGTCAGCATACAGAGTCAGTGGGATGAGGCTTTTCAAGACAGCCTCAGGTCCAAAGCTACAAAACAGCTGAGTAGTTGAAAGAAAAATGAATTATCTTGTTGCAGTTAGGTACGTCAGCACAGTTTCTAAACACCACACTGACTTAAGGGCAGATCAGCTCTGACACTGAACAGCAGATCTATTCTACTTCCAGCACTACAGTTCAGGGCCTGCTGCCAGCCAACTCAGATACCTGGGACCAGGAAAGGCCATGGGATCCTCAGGCCTCAGCTGGCAAATGCTGTTCAGCCCTACAGCTGGGAAACAGAACAGCTACAGCACAAAACTCAGAGCAGCCTCCCCAATGAAGCAACAGGGCACAGAAGTTGCAGATGGCTAGCACAGAAGAGAAAGAAAAGTGCTTTTCTTTGTTTGCACAACCCATGGCTGAAACCTGACACAAGCAAGGTGAATCCCACAGAAATAGCCAGACACGAAGAGGACACATACATCCATACCTCTGGTCTGAATGCGGAAGTTGATTTTGCTTTCAGATGGGTGTGTGATGCAGTAGCCACAAAACTCCACGTCAGGGCTGTGGTGGGGAGAGAGAGAAAAAGAGTAATGGAAGCCCAGACTGTTCACAGCACATCTCAGCAAAGTCAGAATTTCAGGTCATCTCAGACCTGCTGGAGTTCGGGATTCTTCTGCAATGACCGAGGGGCTCCCAGGAGGGGTATGCTGAAAGGAAAGAGCCTGAATAACATTATTCACATTCTCCACCTTTGAATTGCAGCTTTGCAAAGCAACGATATGTCTGGCAAGCTCCTAGCACCACCAACTGCCTAGTGGCAGGCCAAAGAAACTACAGCATCCTCTGCATTTCAGACACACAATTTCCTCCACGATTAACCACCAAGGAGCAGTAAGGACTAGCTGTTACCTAAGGGATGGAAAGCTGGAAGCCAAGAAGGTTAAGACAGCCAACAGGACAGAGAACTTGTCAGCCAGCCCCACCCTATAGCACTGAAGTGGTAGAATAAGGTAGGCCTAGAGATGGTAGCCAAGATCAACTAAAGGTCATCAGGTAAGTCTGTGGGGGTAAAACAAGTCCAAGGTCAGGCCAGAAAGTCAATTCACAGGCCAAGTGAAAGAAACCCAAGTTAAACACAACTCAGTGATCACTAGATAGCCCTATAATGATAAAAAAGGACTGTGACCAGGTCTGTAAAGTCTGTAGCCAAGAACAAGCAATACTATGGCCAAGCTAGGAACTAATGCTCCTGTCATACAGGCAACAACTGGAAGCTGTGAGCTCAAATGAGACTCCTGAACCAATGGGCAGGGTATGGAGGTTCCAGGTGAGACCTGTCAGGCTCCTTAAGGCTTGCAAGTACCCTCTGGGTCCTGATAAAAATAAGGAAGAAAAAAAGAAAAAGAAAAAAGCAGCTGATTTGGGGAACAGAAGTTATAGGTAAGAAATCTTTGATATTATGTCTGATATAAGACCCTAACAGATATATAAGGAGGTGATTTCTGATTATGTGTTTCATTTTAATACCCTTGAGGTACAGGTTATTAAAGAGAAGGCTAGAATAGGAGACAAGTGCTCTTAGCAGCACCAGACACTGTAGGGGCTTTACTTACTTTTTCATGACCATATATCGGAGGGAGTTGCCAAGCGTGTGGTCCTCATCATGCAGCACAAAAGTGACACAGTTTCCATCTGTTCCATCTGCCTGGACCTGCCACAAATTGGGAAAGAAGAGATGCCATAATGTTTTCTGTGGTAATAAAGACCAAGATCCTAGTGAAGAATCTGATTCCAAGCTATCTGAGGTTGAAAAAACTGCATTTATTTCTCTTTCAACAACCTGCACCTGCCTGTGCAGGGCCTGTTTCTGAGGGATAATGTAGAAAGGGTCATTACTGAACCCTGTAACACTAGCAGCAATCCCCTAATTCAGCTGTTGTAGGCTTAGGCACCCAAAAAGTATGAAACTAACCAGTGTTTCCTAAGAAGCTCAGTTTGGGATCCCCTCCAAAGCCAGTGAGCCACCTAATTAATTGCTCAGCTACTAGAGGGCTGCTGATCCCCTGATATTTCCCCATGTTCCACAAAGCCTGGTGTATCCAGATAGCATTGATCATTTCCACTCCTAGCAGCAGAGAGACTTCAGGCTAAGTGAAGAGCCCGTCTGGATGAGTACTGATCTCTTTGCATCCTGCCTCTTGCCAAATCTTCAGCTGCTCCAGTGGTTTTATAGCCTCCTTGTGGAGCAACGCTCCCCTTCCTCCTCCTGCAGGTACAGCTGCCCCAGGGATCTGACTCAGAAGCTTAGAAAGGAAATGCAGTCTGCTTCCTGCAAAGAAGATCACCCAGATGTTCAGCATGACTCCAGGGCAGGTTCTCGCACACCAGCTGTTGCAGAAGAGCAGATGCGATGCAGCAACATGAGGATGTTGGCCTGCTCCAGTCTCTCTTGCCTCCTAGCAATTCGCAATCCACCCTCAAAGCAGTAAGTGTTACTGGTGATTAAAATAAAGAGAGGCAAAACCTTCTCTTGACATGGCAAGGCAACGTGTGACTCGTGATGTCTGGAAGACAGCCTGCCTGCTCTCCTGCTTGCTGGAGCCAGCACCTTCCCACCTTCTTTCAAGAAACAGCTGCTAGCCTCAGCTCCTCCTACTGTTGGGCTTTGCAAAGAACTATTTATTAAAATTGTCTTCAAAAGGGATTTTCTTTTTCATTAAGAGTAAAGGCTTGGACAAGAGCAGGCTAACTTAGGAGGCAGCTGCCTGGCACTACAGGCTGCCTGGCACCCATTTTACTTCCTGCATTCAGTTGCACTTTAGCTCAGGTGTAAGTGTGCATACATAAAAAGATGTTTCTCCTGACTGAGAGCAAATCTTTACATCTGAATTACAAAATTGGCATAAAAATAACTTGAAAAACAGGATGCTTGGAGCTTTAACAGATAGATTTGGGAGCACCAACTTCAGAGTCCTTTCCAGAGCTGAGGGAGCTTTTGTATACAGGAAGCAGAGGAATGTGACAGGATGCATCTCCCGTATGGTGGCTGGGTCTGCTTGTGGGAGAGAGCAGCAACACAATGAGTTCAGCTGTCTGTGCCTCCTTAGCACAGTGTAAATACCCCGTGCACTGATCTGGCAGATAAAAGCCAAAGCACGGCTGTTTCACACAGCCATAAGGAACATGTCATGCTAAACCTATCTGTTTCATCAAACTTGATTTCTCTCTC